CCCAAAAAAAAACCAAACCAAAACCAAACCCCAACATCGTCTTGGGTGAACAGGATTGGACATCCTTCATCTTGAAGGTGTTTACATTGTACTCTAAAGGTTTTCAGTTCCCTCTGCTCCTCCCTCTCTATTGAACTGACTGAATCAGACACTCTCACAGGACTCTGGACTTTGCATCCTCAGTGTACTGAGGATGCAAAGCCTGTGAGAACATGCCCTTTCATTTCCAAGGCAATAAGAGAGTAGCTGTCCCCCCTCCTCCTCCCAGCAGTTAAGCACAGAGAAGAGGAAAGAAAGAGCTAAATCTGCAAGGTGACAAAGCCTCTGGTGCAGAGCCCCCAGAGAAAATGCCCTATGCTCTTTGTAGGACCTGGCAAGAACTACAAGATCAAGGTTTGGAGAGGGAATGTTAAAAACAAGAGAAAGAGGAATTACTGAAGCATCAAAGAGTGGGACTGGGAGGAAATTAAGGGTATTAATCATGGGAGCGTGGGCATACTGTACCTTCTCTGTTTGCTTCGGCTTCCTATCCATGGCTGGTGGGACAGAAAAGATGGTAAACCTCTCCCTCGGCCTGTCTCCTCTTCCACCTGACAGTGTGCTGCCCCTGCAGGGCGTCACCTTATTAGCAAACTCCCACATGACTGCTCTGATCAGAGGGCTCAAGGCCAGACACAGGCCCCAGGAGAGGACAGGGGTAGTCAGGGTTGCGTCAGCTGCCATAAAGGCGCCTTTCTGGGAAGCCCTCCTGTGGCCACCGACCACTGACTGTCAGCCCTGCGTTGCCCAGCCGGTGCTTGCGGATCAATACTGTGTGGGCAGAGTCTCTCTCTGATCAGTAGCTCTGGGCCTCCAGCCATGGCAGAAGTGAAGGTGCTGGGCACATCATTCCCTCAGCCTTTGCCTGGACCATGAAACTTCAGTGACTGTTGTGAGAGAAGGCTGAACATCAGGTGGGAGAGACCCTAATTTATGTTCTGGAAGCAGGTGAGATTGTGGGCTCTCACCAGACGGGACAAATTGCAGGGAGGGTTTATGTGGGTGATGGGTAATTTAGTCTCTTTGCTTAAGCAAAGGTGGCCAGAGGGTGTCAGATATCTGAGGGTGGCTCTCCATCAGGGACAGTGACCCAGCATCACTGTGGGCGACAGTGAGATTAGCTGGAGATGGGAGCAAATTCAGTTTGGGACAAAAGGTGGTATATTAACTGCCCTCACACCCCCTGCACATGTGCTCATTATTGCAAGCTGAGACTGGGGAGTTCTGGGTTGTCAACCCTTAAAAAAAATAAAATAGGTATCTCCAAAGCAGGCCAACAACACAACTGTGCAGTCCCAAGGAATATCAGCCCCTCCTTCATGTCTGTCTAATCGACTGAGGGGCTGACAAGCAGAGTCTTCTACATAGCTAAGATCAAGTATGATGATTCCAAACAGTTTCAGATTTTCCTTGGGGTAACAGTGACAATCCCAAACCAACTGAACTGAAAACGCTGCATGTTAAAGTGTGGAGTAGATCTGTATTTTTCATCTTTTATGTCCTCTGCTGCTTTGGTTTGAGGTCAAACTTCAGTGTTTGGTGGGAGGAGGAATAGCAATCACAGCTGAACAGAGGAGGCAGCTGACAGTAAATAGAGCAAACACTCCACCTTTCCCCACAAGCAACAGGGAAGACGAACACTAGCAGAGAGTGGGGCACGCAGACAGGGCCAGCTTGTGGGCTGGCATTGCTCCCGAGCCACGTTCCAACGCGGCAGATGACCTTTCCCAGAGCCTGCAAAGCTGGTGGGAAATCCACCTGCAGCCTGAGGCAGGGGGGCAGGAGGAATTTCAGAGCAGTGTCTGATTCCCAGCACGGCCACAATATTTGGTGTCAGATGACAGCGGTTTGTCTTTTTCTTTTATTTTTAAATTAGAAGCTGGAGACCCCCTCAAGCCCAGAGACAACCAGCCCTGCCTGTCCCCTCAGAATTTGTCTCCAGAAGCAAAACCATCACGTAGGTGTTTGTCATCCGGCTCTGCCGCCTCCTCCCCGGGATCCATCAGTGTTTGCAATAAACAGTTGCTAAGACCGGGCGCGGGGCTGACAGCTCTGTGGTGTGTGTTGGGAAAGGCACGTTTTAAAGGCGAAGCCTGCGGCCACAGATGGCTCCTTCTTGGGCTTCCCTCGTCCCTGACCAGCCGTGGCCAGCATCCACCTTCCCTGCTGGTCGTCCAGCCCCAAGCCCCCCATCTCTGAGAGCGCTGGCGGCCGCTCCGCCGTGCAGCGCTGCCCTAGAGCACTGAAGAACCCAAGCCAGCTTGGAGGATTAACTTGAGCAGCATCCCTCTCTGCCGCCCGGCAGAAGCAGCGCTCTGCCGGCTCCCCGCTGGTGGCCGAGCCCCTTCCACCCCTCCTCACAGCCGGGATCCTCGTCCTAGGGAAACACTTGCCCGCAGCGCGCCTTAAGCGCTCTCCTAACCAAGGAAGCCCGGTGTCTCCTCGGGCTTTAGGGAGCGGCGCCGGACCCTGACAGCAGCACTGCCGTCCGGGACAGAGCCCTCTGGAGCCACCTCGGGCCCTGCCCCTTCCGAACGTCTCCGGCAGTCTGGGGCCGGCGGAGGCGCCTGTGACACCCGTGCGGCGGGGCCGTGCCCTGACCGGCGGCTCCCGCCGAGGCCCGGGGACGGCCGGGGGCCGAGTGCCACCTGCCCAGCAC